AGAGCATTTCTAACACTCTAAAACAAAGGGGAACTTAGAACATGAACTAATGCATGAATTTTTGTATAAAACTTTATAATCCATCCATAATTAGTTCAAAAGCCAAAACTTATGAGTTTTGTGAGATGTGAGCATGCACGCAAACGTAAAAAGATAATATGGACGCGCTACAATGGTCTACAGCCTCAATGGATATCATATGCAAAATTTAACCCTTTAATAGATGAATTTTCATATAATTCATAAACAAACTATAAAAGTGAAGTAACATACATAGCTTAAAGTATCTTCGGCCCTTGGCCTCATTATAAACACATATATGGAGTAACAAAAAGTGCACTTAAGTGCACATTACATAGTTTAGACAACTAGTACAAGTTTTCACATATTACACCAAAAAGATCATGATATGCTAACAAGTGCATATCAATGTTACCAAAAAATACTTCAAGACTTCTAGCATGTCTAAGAGTGTTGTGTATCCCACAACAAAGCTTCTTTACCTTCAAAATACCCAGTAACTTCGGGGTGAATAAACAAGTCTAACAAGTTTATTCGTAGGGAATGAGCATGCATATGCTTAATTCATTTACAAAGTTTACAAATCAATATTGTGTAATCCATGCTATTAAAATAACATGAGAACTTTCAGCATAGCACAATAAGATGCAATTTCATAAAGTTATCAACTTGGAAATTAAAATACGAAATCAAGTCAAGTGGATACTTGGATATTGCCCGGATTAAAACCGTATTCTTGAGATCACTTTAAGGCTATTAACCCATGTGTACCTTTCCCCTAGTGCACATTATAATGTAGGAGGACAATCCCCCGTACTAGAACCAAGTCCTAGCCTAGTCAAGTTCTTGATAATATCCCAAGTTTCCAAAATCAGCAAGTTTGAGCAACAAGTCATGGTATGTATTACAACATAAAAACTCCATGAATTTAATAACTAATCATTAGAACAATGAAATGGAAATTAATTAAGCTAATTAGTTAACTTCCTCTAGATTTCAAGAATTATTCAAATAATCCCAAATGAATATATATCATAGACTAAGTCATGACCATGCCATATATCAAGTCAAAAATGAATTACTAGCATGGTAGAATTAAATAGAATTTAAAATCAACTTAAATTACTCATGTCTCTAGATTTAGAAACTCATTTAAATCATGTCAAATTAATACACAATAAGATTCAAGTCATAGCCATGCCATATATCAAGTCCAAAATAATTTATATGCAAGCTACCATTAGTCATTTATTACTTAAATTAACATAGGATATGCATACAATTTGTATATCATTACAAGAACAGTATATTCACTTAGGAAAATCAAGTAGAACACTCCCTACCTCAATAGAGAATTGAATCTCTATAATCCAATGCACCCAAGCTCAAAAATGGAAAATTAAACAAGGGTCTTATAGAGGAGAGCGAGAGGAAGATAAAGTATTCCAAGTTCTAGGTTCTAAGGTGAGTGGAAGGGTATGAAAATGAAGCTCAAAGCTTTAATTCAAGCTTAACTCCAATGGACATTTCTTAGAGTTCTTGAGAGGAAGATGGTGAATGTATTAAAATGAAATAGAATTCCTAAGTTAAAGGTGGTGGAATTCTCCACTCACTAGGTGCTCTTGCACTACCTCTCACACACACACTTGCAAGACTAAAGGTGAGTCCTACACTTGTTATGAATCTAAGTGAGCTTCCAAGATCAAATATTGAGCCTACACTTGTCAACCATCCATGCTAACATGTGCTCCAATCATAGGCCAACAAATGGTTGAATCTCCACCCTCCATGTGTCAAAGGATTAAGCCTACAAGTGGCTTCACTACAAAATCAACAAATGACACATTAGGAAAGTGACACTTGTCACTTTTTCGGAAATTGCAAAAAGGTATTTTTTGAAAATATCTTCCAAATTAAATTGCAAAATGGTCCCTAAGACGAAAAATAATTACTTTATTTAATTACACAAAACCCCTCAAGTTTTGATTAATTATCAAAAGTTATGCATTCATACCCTTTATAAGGGAAGTAAACATTTAAAATACTTTTCTACAAAAGTGTAAATGTAGATGTCTTAGAAATCAAATATCATAAATATATGCAAAACCGAAATCAAATCCGAGCATAAAAAGTGAGGTTTTGTAAGGAAAAATGAAAAATGACTAAAGAACGAAATAGGGAAAAGACGAAAAAATGAAATTACCAAAAAAAAGAAAAGGAGGAAATTTTCCGGGTCATGACAATTTCTTTACTCTTCGTAGATGTCGCAATGTTTGCCTTAGGGTGAAATTCTTCTTCATCTTCATCTGCCTCTTCAAGTGGCACATAATCAGAATCATTGTTAGAGGCCATTTTGGAACTCTCACTAACCTGACGACTACATTTCCAAGTAGGAGAAGGATCAGGGATGGTTTTCTTTTTTCGTACATGTATAATTTTCTTTTTTTCTTTTGCTTTCTTATGAGCTATACTCTTCATCCTAATCATTTCAAACCCTAAAAAATACATTGACCCAACTTCTTCGATTTCTACCAACAAATTTAATGAACCCAACAAAGCCAGAATTTGAAAGACAACAACTGTGGTATTCGTCCCACTAACCGTGTGATTTTCAAACCCTAAAAAAATACAGTGACCTAACTTCTTTAATTTCCACTAACAAATTGAATGAACCCAACAAAGGCACATCAATTGAACTCAGACAACCTTAATTTCAGACCAACCACGAAAAGCCTCAGACGCAACAACAGACGAACCACGACTCAGACGCAGCAGCACAGACCTTTCCTTGTTCTTTATTGAAAATTAAGTAAGGGCTAAATTGACAATTCCAAACAATACATTGACACATGTGTATTATTATAACTTATACCGTATTTATTATATAATGGTTAAAGTTTTTATACCCATGTAATGCAACTGAAATAAGAGTAGTTAAAATTGTTTAACCCCATTTTTAAGTGACGCGGACAATTCTCCTCCACTTATTCTAAAATGAAGAAAACTGGATACTGTTCAACCGGAGAGGATTTTGCACCATCCAAGGCTTTAGGTACCTTAAAAAGGTCCATTTTTCAGCTCCTAGGGCCTCTCGGCCGGTTGGTGATATAAGCCAGGCGACCGGCTGTGCGTTTTTGCCTCAAATAGAATGTAGGGAAGCCTGTGAGGTTGTTTCGGCTGGTTGACCATTACTGTCAGCCGGCTGACCCTCCACTTTCAACGGTTGACACATGGTTTCAGTCGACCGATGCAACCCAACGCATCAGCTTTTATAACCCAAATTTAAATGACCATATCTCCTTTATTTTAACATCAAATTAGGTCAAATTTTAATCCAATTTCAAGTTTTTAAGTCAGTTTCCCAATGGTGCCAATATCAGTCACAAATTCTATTTGTACAGAGAGTTATGATTGTTTTAGTGAGGACTACTCAGAGAGTCTTTAGAACCATGAAGGGCCAATTATGTGAAAATCTTGTTCTTGTGTCTACAACCGTGCAACATGGGTTCAAATGACCATTTAGACTTATGTTAATCTTGCATGACTCACTTAGTGGGTGTTTAGGATTGTTTCTCTACTACTAAAAAGCAATTCTATTCTAAAAAAATTGCGATGCAATGTGTTTGGTGAAAAAAAAAAAGCTCTTCTAGATAGTAGAGGTTAGGCCTAAAAAGCGCGTTTAAGTGAAGTTAAGAATCGTAACTTTTAAAATTGTGTTAAGGTAGAGGTCCATATTTTTAGTTAACTAAATTTCTTTTAGACAATTTACTCCGTTTATATTTTTTATAAATACAATTATATCCCTTTTATAAATAAAAAGCAAACAATATGGACTCTGTAATAAACTAAAATCCTAATTTATTTTGGGACTCTCCAGCCTTCCGATCTCAGTTTATTTTGGGACTCTGAATTATATAATTGTTAGATGTTTAATTTTTAATAAATTATGATTTGTGATTTATTTTTAAAATAACTATAGTACGTTTATACTATTATCTTAAATAATAAGTAATAAGATTATTAATTGTGGTTAAAATGTTTAGTTTTATTTTATGAAATGTTGTCTATATTGCAAAATATTATATTATTAAATTTCATTATTAGATAACGTATGAACAAATTTGATTATTTTATTACTCGAAGATCCCAAATCAGATACAAATTAATCATCATTAAAATATGTTTAACTCATTTATATTTTATTTACCTTGGCATTGAACATTCTACCATTGGGTGGTTACAGGTTTGGGTAAGGACCCGGTTAGTGTTTCGGACCCCCGACTTTGGGTCGTTACATTTATCTTCTTTGAATTAATTCAAGAAAGCAAAAATTAATCTAAACTATATCATTACTATAATTATTAATAATCATTGATAAATTCAATTTTATCTGAACTCCAAAAATTATATATTTAAAAAAAGGGTTAAAATCAAAAACCCTCTTGTAGTATAAAAATTGTGCATTAATTCTCTACTAGAATTAAAAAATTTCCTGTGCGTGACCCGATAACTTGGCTGTGAAATGACAAAATTGACATTGTCATTTAAAGTTAAATTAAAATTTTGATATAATTTTAAAATAAATATTTTTGTAATATTTAAAATAGCAATGTCAATTTTATAATTTAACATTAAATAATAATTTTGTAACAATTTTGAATTTAATATTAATTAATGTACCTTTATTATTTTTGTAATTTTAAAATAATAATTTTTAGCATTTGAGTTTAAAATTAAAGAATATGGTCAATTTAACAAGTTACAGATGTAGAGGCAACTTGTTAATTTTTAAAATTCAGAAGATTTTTTAATCCTACTTAATTTTATGCACAATTTTAAAAGCACAGGCTTTTGCCCCCACCCAAAAATCCTATTTAAGTTTCTTACGAACAAAAAAAATTTCTACCTTGGGTTGACCGCGTGACCTGATGAACTTGTAATGCGACGTCGGTTTACATGTGTGGCCTTGTCCCCTCTACCCCCATAGCCCTGGCAATTTTGGGTTCCCCTATGCCCTAATCTCTCCATCTGAGAAAACCAATCAATCAATCAAACACAAACGCAGCAATACACCAAATTTACCAACACAGATCAAATTATTTTTTCACCCGAACAAAACCCAATTCTTCTCCTTCTCCATTTTCCAATTATTGTCCCCCCTCTCTCTCCCCCTTGTCTCTCTCTCTCTTCGTCCTCGATTTTCACTCTCGTCACCCGAAACAACACACAGAGAGGAACAGATATGTGAAAGTACATACATGTTCTTCAACTTCAATCCTCCATGCCCCTTTTCTCTCACAACCCAAGAACCCAACTCGCTTTATCTCTCTTTATGTGTGTATATTTATATATACACATATATCCTCTGTTTCTCACTCCAAAAGGGACTCTCTCTCTCTGTACAATCCATTCACTTGATTCTCTCTCCTTCTAATGCAAACCCATGATCTCCCATTCGAACCCTCCGTAGACAATCCTCACCCTCCCGATCTCTCCACCATGTCCCACGAACCCTCCTCTCCGATCCACAACAATAACAACTCTTCTCCCAATGAACAACCGCAACACTCCCAAAACAATCACAACACTCACAACAACAACGAAAACAAGAACACCCACAACAACAACAACAACAACAACAATATAGTGAAAAGAGAGCGACCCTCGCGGGCGTGCACGGTTCGTTCCGCCGCTCGGCTCTATGCTGCAGCAGCGGCCGAGGCGGCAGTTGTTTCAGCAGGGCGGAGGCAGAAAGCGGCCAAGAAAGAGAGGCTGCGACCGCGGGAGGTGGAGGAGGAGAGGTCGCCTTCGCCACAGCAGCAGCAATGCAGCAAGATCGTGACCCCGCTAGCGAACCCGCCCCCACCGGGGCAGTTGCCACGGTGGAGCATTCGGTCCATGTGGGAATTGGCTTCAATTCTTAATTTCTTGAATGTGAGCTGAGAAAGTTGTTAGTTTTGTCTTGGAATTGGTGTTTTTGGTGTGTTAAGGTTTATGTTGATTTTTTTTTTGTGTTTTGTAGGTTTTTAGGTCCTTTTTGACCAGTAAAGTTGAATTTTAATTTCTTCAGTGTGAGCTAAGAAAGTTATGATCTTTGGAATTGGTGTTTTTGGCATGTTAGTGCTTATGTTGTTTGTTTCTTTGTGTTGTAGGTTTTTAGGCCTTTTTTGAATATTAAAGTTGAATTCTCGGTGGAGGAGTTGGAGACTGCTTTGATTACACCTAACAACACTCTGGGTGACATACACATTCCTTTATTGAAGGTTGGTAATCTAATTTGAACTATGAAAGCTTTACTTGAAGCAAAGTTTACATTTTTTAGCATGCAATTTTGGTGTTAGTGTGATTGCATCGAGGTACTTCTACTACTACTTGAAGCAAAGTTTACATTTTTTAGCTTCTTATGATACCTTATTTTTTCAAAAGTGAAAGCTTTACTTTGTTTATGCTTCTCTGAGTGAATACTTTACCAAAGTTTGCAACTTTACAGCGGGAACAATGTGATTTTAGTTTTATGCTATTTATTTGGCCAGCGGAATCATCTTGACAAGTAATCAATGCAGACAATAATGATAATAACTGCAGAGAGTCTTGTATGATCTTTTACTTTTCAAATCAGTTCATTAATAAATCAACAAATAACACGAAACCGAATGCATTGTAAACATTACCATTGTTTTCCTTTACATAAGCAGAATTCTTTGAGGGTCCTTAAAATGGAGTAGCATATTGGTGCACTTGTGCATGTCCATTAATTTTCTTTTTTCTAAATTATTTTTCAAGGCTTTGAATTAGCTAGTCATATTACATTAACGGGTGCCATTTTGAGTTCGTATTGTTGGTTTTCTGGTGCCAATTTTGTTTTTTGAGGAATGCAATAGTGGTTTGTGTCCTTACTCCTTTCACAGTTCCACTATATTGGTAGGAATAATTATGTTTCGAGAAGCTCTCCAACTTTCCTAGATAATACTCGTGGATATCTCTAGACTGGCTCCTGCTTACTAAATCTTGGTGAGTTGCTAAGCTGCTTGTGATAAGATGAATTTTAGGTCATATAGCAGTTTGTCTGGCATAAATATGTTATACAAACCACTCGAGCATTATTTGGTCAAGATTTAGAGGTTCAATGGAACTGGATTTGACATGTTTAGGCCTGTGAATAGTGAGCATTTCCTCTAGTATGTGGGATGAATGGATGTGTGTTGGTTAAAGGTAGTTTATTACTATGTTACAAGGCTTGGTGTGTGTGACAAGTTGGTGCATGTCTAGTGTTAGACCTCCTTGGTCTTTATAAAAAGGAGTTTCCATTAATCTCAAATAGAATACTCTTTGGTACTATAAATTTGAACTTCTTCTTCTTATTCCATTATCACATGTAGAGGGTCAGGGTGTGCCCATGGCCATACATCTATGTCGTGTCTACGCGCGTAAAATAGGCGATTTTAAAGTAACATGGTTTCCTTATCGTTCGACTAAGAAGCACAAACATTTCTATCTGCGATGGTGTTGTGGCCATGTTGACACGTTCTGGAATATCGGTACTAAACGAACACTCCTAGACATTTCAATTTGGACACTTAGCCCACATCTCGGATACTTGGCCAATACATCTTAGCCACATCTTGGATACTTGGCGATCCCAAACACTTGGGCCACACATCCTAGACGTTTTGTCCGTACATTACAAACACTCCCCAACACAAGTCGTATATAAGACAAATACATCTAAGGGTAGCTATGTTTGACAATCTTTGGAAATAATATGAACAAACCTCAGTGTGTCCTACCTTATCTTATTAAGAAAAATTGACATTATACAAATGGTCACCACAAGGCACAAGTAAAGCATGCAACGAGAATTTCGTATAGAATAAAAAAGAGTAAGGTTTGATTAGTATCAAAAGGATTTGCATGATATTTAATTTATAGAAATGTCGATTATGTCATTGTATTGACAAAGTAGTAGAATGGTAGCATATTTAATATAGTAATTTTTACGACATTTGCATAGCTTAATCTTCTAAGTAATGTAACTCATTATAGAAATTTAAAATTGAATAGAGTTCTGTAATTATCATATTCAATGGATTTAAATGAATAGAACTTTATATTTATATATAGCCTATGTCCATGTTGTGTTTGTGTCCTATTTTTATAGGATTCGACATGTTGTAAACTTGTTGTATCGGTGTCATATGGTAACGTGCCCAAGTCCATGTCAATGCCACTTGGCTATTCAAAAAGAAAACTTACCTGTTGATTTAGTTCATTTAAAAAGATAAGCACAATAACAAGGTTGACAAGTGAGCTCTAGCAGGACTGGACGAGTTTTGCCCAGGTTGAAGAAAACATAAAATTGTCAAACATGGGCAATTTTGATATTTTAGATTCTGGATATAATTGAAATGGCCTGAAATTGAGATTGATTTTTGAAGTAAAAAATATATCAGGACATGCTCTCACGAACAGGTTTATGGCTTCTATTTGCCTTGCAACATTTGACTCCATGTGCTTGCTTATTTTTCACTTCAAAGGTAGCTTTATATTTTTGAAATACAATTGATTTTCTGAAACGATTGATTTTCTGAGTTCCTTGGGACCTTACCTGTGCCTCTTTTGTTGTATTCGGGACGCATTCTCCTTTTGAACGCTTTTTATGAATCGTCTTAATTATCAAAAAATATATATATATTTCTGAAATACGCTCCTTTCTCTCAAAGCAGTGAAAGAGGATTTGAAACTTCAGCCTTTTTGATTACGAGGAGTTTTTTTTTTTGGAAATTTTTTCATGGATAATAACATAATGCTACAATCTCATCCTGCTTTCTCTGATATGCCATATACATTAGAATTGCAGTTCATATTCTCAATGGATTTATCTTGTTGTTGCCAAATCCAATATATTGTATGGTTGAATATATAAGACGACAAACTGACAAAGGGCCTCTACCCCAATGATATGATCTCTTCTCCCCAAACGGGGAGGTTGTATTCGAGTCCTGCAAGGGACATATTGTGGATAATGGGTGTGTGTGTGTTTGCTCCAACTTTAAAAAAGAAAAAGAAAAAAGAATATACGACAACAAAGGATATTCTAGGAATATTTTGTTTTAATTGAGTGTTTGTTTGAGAGATTGGTGATATTGACTATTTAAAATTGGAAGTTACGTTAACATTCATTTTCCACTATTGAGAATTTTATTTGGCTATTTTTGGTGTGAAAATCTACTTTGAACCCCTCCCCTCCCCTTTCAAAAAATAGAGGGAACAAAAATCACTGTGAATTTTTTTTCCTTACTTTTACGCATGGCAGTAAATTCTGAAATTGGAATGTATTTTGCTTTGTGAAATTGGAAAAATTAATAAATTAGTAGGAGATGAGATTGATTGAGTTGATTAAAGGTTGGATGATAGGTCGTCTGGATAAAGCAATTAGCAACTAGTGCACCAATTTAGTAATAAAACTGAATTTGCTTGTGGAAACTTAGTTCTTTGTATGAAATAGTGGCATGTTAAGATATACTTACATGGGGTAATATAAATTACCCTGAACTCTCCTAAGGTTTGGGGAGATTTACTTATCAAAAAATAAAAAAAATAAAAAAAAAGGGTTTGGGGAGATTGCCATAATATAATTATTTTTGGAAAAAACTTAAAAGCGATCAACCTCCCTTAAGGTTTGCATGAAGGAACTCTGATCTCATCTTCTTTTAGTTGGCATTAGTACAGATAAAAAAAGTCTCGAAAATGCTCTTCTGTGCAGCAAAATGGAAAATTTGACCTTATTAGCCATATAAATGACAATTTCAACTATAATATTTGGATAAAAATACCCTTCCCATTTTAACACTTTGGTTGCAAATAATTAATAATTAATAATTTTCATTTATAATACTAAATACTGGCTTGAAAGAAATAGGAGATCCTTTGAAGGAAAGGAGAATCCTATTGGGACGTTGAAGTTCTCCATTATTATCACTCTTTTCTGTTGGGTTCTAGGGGGAAATTGTAATTCCATGGAGGAAATAGTTGATTTTATGGACTCCCTGAGAGTTTAGAGGCCCAATTAGGCCTTGTGTATCTTCTGAGGGATGCGTTCCCCTTTTGAACGCTTCTTTTATACAATTTTACTTATATAAAAAAAAATACTAAATACATTAATTAAAAATTGAATATATATAATTTATTGAATAATATATTAATATACATAATATACTTTTAGTAAATATTTAATTGGAAATTGAATATATACAGTTTATTCTATTAATGCAAAATTGAAATTTATTGAAATGCTTATTCATATATTACATATATACTTCTATTGCAAAATATTTACATATATTACTAGCTAAGGCTAAGAAACTATCCCATTCAACCACCATTTCCACCACCACCTCTTCCCACTGCCACTCAGCAATTCTGTCCTTTCTATCAACCACCTCCTTAGTTCTCTCACAGCCACCACCTGCGCAGTTCCCTCACCACCACCATCTGCCCTTTTTTTCTCTCTCTCCACCCCTTCACCGCCACCACTGCCGCCCATCACTTGGTTGAGACTGAGACTGTCCCCAAAGACTCAATAATGTACTCTCCAATGCCCGATTCACATAGATTATGCTCTGGCAGTGCTTTGGTGATATACTGAATCCTGATGCCAGCTCAGGCAAGATCAGTTCTTAAGAAAACAGGAGTTCGGCACTCAGTGAACCCGCCTCCCATTCCAACACTACGTGTTCATCTCTGGCATCACCGTCGCCTCTTTCTTATTCATTCATCTTCACTTCTTTGCCCATCTTCCAATCTAATTTTGAAATCACAAATTTAGGGTTTTCTTCATTTCAAGGTCATGCTTACAAATATTTCTATAAATTTTCTGAACTTGTTTGTTTTGGATCAAAAGTCAGAGAATTGTGGGAGACTACCGCTCATTTATATCTACAATGGTGATTTCGCTTTTCGTTTGTATCTATAATGGTGATTTCTGTTTTCTTCTGTAAAAGTGGCATTTCTTTTTTCTTCTATGATAGATTAAAGTTGTGGTACCCTTTAACAGCTGGAAATCCATTTGGTTAGAAAAGATATTGGTTTCCTTGTTAGATGCATCTGTACGGGCAGTTGACGCTGGTTGTTGTTGGAGAGTTGATCAGGTGGTGTTGTTGGGAGGGTGGTCTTTGATGCGAGTTGTTGATCTGTGGCTTGGTGTTGATCTAGGTTTTTTATTTTTCTCTCCTTCTGTATGTTCATTGGTGTCACCATTGATAATGGTTGAAGAGATGAGAAGAGACGAAGATGTGTGTGTGTGTGTGTGTGAGAGAGAGAGAGAGAGAGAGCTTGATTTATTTGACAACTGAAATATCATTTGGGTAAAATGGTAAATTCTACATATTTTTCCTACAATGTTATTGTAAAGTTTGTAATAAAAGTGAGGGTAGTTTTGTAAAATGCCCAACAAGCGTTTATGGCCATAACAGTTACTAACTGACGGGTGTCAAAGTGATTTTGCCAACAGTTTAACTGATGGTGGTTACCCCAAACCTCAGGGGAGGTCAAGGTAATTTGTCGATTTAGATATCAGCCACATTAAGGTTGGAATTATATTTAGATGTGGTATGAGTCTGAAACTAGGGGATGGAACTTGCGGCCAAATGGATGTAGATGATAAAAAGGTGAATATCAAGTATTTGACAATATTAAGATGTTATTAGACATGCAGGGACTTATTATTATTTGACCCAAATATCCATGGACTTAAATATCATGAATTGAAGCAAAGCTTCCCCAAAGGCTATGGCTCTTGCTTGGTCTGCATGTAAAAAGGTGCAGACTAAGAAGGTGATTTGAGTGAGAAGACCCAACAAGTTTTTGAGTCAAGATATCTGTGTCTTGAGCTGTTGTGGTAATAAAACAGTTACGATTTGTTCATCATTTCCTGGTCTTATATTCCTTCTGGAAAAGATTGCTCTTTGGCAGTAATTTATTATATTTTGCTGAAAAAGTGTCACAAATCTAATGGGCACTTCCTTTAGAAGTATTGGAGGTGGGAAAGGAGGAAAACCTTTTTTTGGTCTTTTGCTTTTGTCAGCAACTATTTGGTTGATGTGGACTGGGAGGAATGGTAGATTTTTTATATTAAAATCTTGAGAGTTGATAAGTTTCTCTCTCCTCTCACTGGGTTTTAACTACTTGGTAACTGTCTTGTCGGAATTCATGTTTGCCCTTATAGAAAAGGAGAAGTACCGAAGTCATGCTTATGTAGAGGTTCTCCTAGAAATAGGTTGAAGACCAATTTCATGGTTGTTATCTTCCATGATCAACTGACTAACCAATATCCCCATTGAGGATGATTAATTTGTTGTAGATTGGATTAAAGGTGGCAACACACGGTATCAGAGGTACAATCATTTAATGAGTTTCTGGATGGGTTTTGATTGTTGGAGGTTGAATTCTATTGGACTCTTTGTTGGCCAATCCAAAGGTTGATTCTTACTTTCTTAACAAAAAGAGGGTTGAGATTCCTTAAGGTACCATGGCTTACTAAAAAAAGAGAAGGAAAGTAAAGACATCCTAGAGGACATGATGACCTTCTTTAGGCTACGTTTTTCTGAGGGTGTTTTGTGCTATTGCATAGTATGTTATTGGCTATTTTATTTTCCTAACTCCCATTTTCTTCTTTTTGTCTCCTTGATGGTATCCCATTTCTTATCAATGGTATGGTCATTTTCTATGAACAACAACATCAATGGCAATTTCTGAATCTACTGTTACTAGTTGGAATCCAATCCATTATATTATTATTATCATTATTTATTTTATTTTATTTTATTTATTTTTGTTGGTGTTATGAAGATATTATGCCTGTAGAATCCAATTCTATGATGAATTTGTGAATTCATTTAGCCATAAGTAGGTTAAAAAACGGCTATTACATGATTTTGTAGCAGCCAAATTGGTTGATTACTCTCTGTTGGATAATGTCTTTGAATCTATAAGTTCTTGGTTGCATTTGGCATGGTTTGGGTGTTTCCCGGTTCCACAGTGGACATGTTAGAGACTTGGAGAGTGTATAGTGGTAGCCGAGTTAGAGATGCTTGGAGGGTCACTCCCCTTTGTTTATAGTGTGGCTTCTGGCGCGAGAGAAATCGGAGATCTTTTGAGGGAGAGGAATCTCCAATTTGGTCTTTCAAATACAATATACTGTTTAATTTATATTTTTGGGTTAATGGGAGAAATTGTAAATCTATGGGGGATATTTTGGATTTTGTGGATAGCTTGAAACTTTAGCGTCGCCTTGTGCGTCCTTCGTATTCTTTTGGGTTTGCTCCCCACTTTGAGTGCTTTTAATGGTATCTTACTTATAAAAAAGAAAGAAAAGATATTTGAGTTTTGAAGGCCACCATTTTAAATCTAGTTTTGGATGTTATTTATTGAAACATATCCGCTGTCTGATTACTGGAGATACATATCTGTATGATAAAATATATCACTTACAATTCCTGTATGACTTCTGCAGTGCAAATTTATTTGTAATGTGTGTGTATGTGTTTCATAGTACTGACCATGTGCTGCTACCACAAGCTTTGCTCACTAATCCTTTTCATGTAGGCAATCCCTCCTATTACCCGAATGGCACTTGGACACAATACTTGGGTTACTGTTCTATGCAGAAAGTTGAGAGATTGGTGGCACTGGGTAACATGATCGCTGTGCTCCTTGAAGTTGACATTGGACAATGTTATATGTGAATATATTCCTTTTGTAGCTTACTACCGTGTTAACGTGACTTTGGTACTTCGTTGCAGGTTGCAGATGGTGAGCTACCTATAGTTGCTTCACATGGGTGAGTAATTATGAGTCTTTGGAAAACTCAGATATATGGACTTTGGGTGTGTTTTTATTGGTTTTGTCATGTTGATTTGTCAGGGCTGAGATTGAAGCATACAATACACTTGATCCTGGTGTTCGTGTGGTGATTCTGAAAGCCTTGTGTGATATTCGCGTTGAGGTATTATGAGTTCTAGATGATCTCTTAGTTCTAAATACTTGCTGCCTATTCTATTCCTATATGGTGATTATTATGTAAATCTGGATTCTAATCTCACTTTGAATCATCTTAAAGCTTCTGTTTCAAAAGCAATCTCAAGTTTGGCTTGCATTGTGAACTGCATTTGTTTGATTTAATGCTTAAGTGTTGTTTTGCAATTCAAATTATTTTTTCTAAAATAATTTTTTCCATATACCATTTATAGAATTATGGATCCAATTTAATTTCCATTGTACACAGTGCATTGTAATCTTAGTAGTTTATAATTCAAGTTTGTTTTTATCATATAAAAGCATGATGTGTCATGTATGGCTTTCAAAATTTATGAACCAAAGCCCTAGCTGTCAAATTTCTTGATATAGTTATAATTCTTTTCCTTCAAAGAAATTAACAATCAATAAAGATTTATTTTTAATAAAGGATCTTTGTACAAAGGAAATGAAGGATGGGGTCGTTTAAAACCATGACATAGGAAAGCACCCAAAAATATTCTGAAAGACATGATGTTAGTTTTCATAGTTCTCATTGATGTTATTTTTTATAGTTCTCGTTGATGTTTTTCCTTTAACTATATACTGAAAGAACTGAATATGGTACACTCTTATTTGCAGCAAGAAGATATTCGAAACTATATAGACGACTCAGTAAAGCATGGTGTTCATCTTTCAGCATTCCGTAAAGAACGTATCGGGGGTGATTCTTATGGAATCTCATACTGGTACTGTGTGTGTGTGTGTGTGCATGTTTATTTATTTATAAGTACTATATGTGTGCTTTTGGTAGTAGATCGGTTTCATAAGTTCATCATTGTGATAGTTTGTCTTTTTAGTACCAGCTATAAATGGTCCACTAAAGTTCCCTTTACTTGACATGTAAAACAATTTGCAAATTTTGTAATGTTGTTCATTATTATATACTGTAGTATATATTTTGAACTGAGATATGCTTGCTGTTATGTAGGTTTGAAGATGATCCTATAATTGGTCATCGTTTGTACCGAGAAATTAGAAAAGTGGAGGTTAAGAAGGGAAAGGGAAAGAGTGTACAGCCCATCCCCAATTCATGTTACCAGTGGGAAACTGTTGCAACTAATTTGGATGAATTTGAAGATGTTTCTGTAAGTTTTTATAATGGATTAACAATTGGTTTTTTGGACTTTTTGAGAGTTTAGGGACCCTATTAGGCCTCGTGTAGCTTTTGTGGGATGCATTCCCTGTTTGAATGCTTTCTATTACATCTTTACTTATCAAAAAAAAAATCCTAAATTAAATGCTTTGTTAATTTATTTATTACTCCTTGGCAAAGGATCAGAAAAAATGAATGATGAATCAAAACTTCCTACTTCTATATGCATCTTTTATTTTTTTGATAGATACTTTCTGTATGCATCAAATGAAAAAAAAAAAATTCCCTTTTCTATTTAGATTTTTATCTTTTTAATATTTTGTTTAATTGAATGTATAAAAGTTAGGAAGTGGTCTGAAATAGAAAGACCTTAGGGAATTGTTCAATTGAACTGAGTAGAAGAAACCCATATCAACATATATCGAATTCCAATTCATATATGGTTTTATCTTTTATATTTTACCCTTTGATTGTGATGAATTTAGAAAGATGTAGACTTGTGCCTGTTTGTTGACTATTAAATACTGAAAATTACATTTTTTTTTGTTTTTTTTCCAATTAAGTAAGTTTGGTGCAGACAAGTGTCCTGGATTTTCTTTGAATGCTAAACACGCTCAGTGAAAGTTGATCTTGAATTTAAATGAACTGTCAAGTTGACCTTCAAGTTATCGGTTAAAAAATTTTAGGTGCTTAAGATTTGATTTTATAGTAATAACTCTTTAATTTTATCAAACACCACACAATTTTTTGTGGTTTAAGATGGGGAGCCAAAGTTTACTTGATCGTTTGTGTGTTACATAAAATTATTTTTTGAGGAAAATCTTTTGGACATATATAAATTTTAATATGCACTCGTTTATATTGAAGGAAAATTACTTTCATTCTTGTGTATGGATTTCAGGAAGAGTGGATTAAGGTGGATGAGGTCTATATAGATCTAGCGGTGTTTGGAATTTTATTTTCCTTTTACTTTTGGGTGGGTATTGGGTTTGAGTTACTTGATAGTTGCATCATCTTCCATCTTTATTGGAATTGTTCCGTTTAATGAGTAAATTTATTTGGAACTTTATGAGCAAATATATGAAAAATCTTTGGACGGTGGGATAAAATATCTCCCTTACTAAAACAACATAGCATGTTCCCTTTTTATAAGAAAATTATCAGGTCTGGCACCTACATTTTTGTGGATTCCAGCTTTAAAGCTGAGGTTACTGGAAAGAAAAGGTTTCAAAGTGATTTCAGTTTAGTGTTATAGACTTCTAGTTTGATGGAGTTATATATTATTGGAAAGAAAAGGTTTCAAAGTGAATTCAGTTGGTGTTATAGTTTGACGGATTTATATATTAGTGTGGTCTGAAGCAAAGTGGTTGAGGTAATGGGGTGGTAAATTTTTTTGGCTTTTGGTGATAAGGGGGTAAGCAGCCATGGTTCGAAGCAGAAGCCGAGACCACAGCATTTTGCCCTAAACATCTCGGCTTCATTAGGTGCTGATCGTAATACGCAATGTGATACAGTGAATAAGGGAGACTCATTTTGCTAGGCAGCACAAGACATATTGTGCATCTTGCTCGAGATAGTGTCATCTATCTCATGTGACATTGCATGACATATCTCATGATACCTTGATGATTTGCTCGAGATGCTGCCATCTTATCATGAGCATGCAAAAGGAATGCGCTTTTTGTTTCTCCAATCATGCACTTAATTATCCTACAATATCTTGTGCATCTCACTCTAGATAATGCCGTCGTCTGTGCCATCATGAGAAACTGCTCATGGTAATTTTCCTGAGATGATGCTCACTAGTGGCGAGTCGGGGGTGGTGTGTAAAGCTTACAACCATGTGAATTGGGACCTTTTGATTTATGTCGTGGAGAGGATGGGGCTTGGGGAGCGGTGGAGGGGATGGATCCGCTTTATTTCCACAGAGATTCTCAGTGTTGGTCAATGGTGCTCCTTAGGGGTTCTTTGGCAGCTTGAGAGGGTTGAGGCAGGGGGACCCCTTATCTCCAATTTTATTTATCAATGTGATGGAGGCCTTAAATAGGTTGATGAGACGGGTGGGTGACCTGGGCTACTTCAGATGCTTCAGGGTCGAGAGGGATCCTTCATCTCAGATGGAGATCTCTCACTCTATGAAGACGACACTATTGTGCTGATGTGAGCCAGTTGACATACCTTAGGGGGGTCTTGGTGTGTTTCTAGGTGGTCTCGGGCTGAAGATTAACCTTTAAAAGAGCGAGATTGTGCCCATGGGTGCAGTGGAGGAGATTGATTATCTGCCCTACATTCTGGGATGTAGGGTGGGGGACCTTTCCTATTGTCTACCTGGGCTTACCCTTGAGTGTCTAGTGGAGGAGAGCTTCTTCTTGGGATCCATAGTGCAGCGGTTTGAGAGGAGGTTGGCTGGCTGGAAAAGCAGTATCTTTCGAAAGGAGAGGGTCTGACTTTGCTGAAGAGCACCCTTTCGAGTTTTCCCAATTATTTTATGTCCCTCTACCCGATCCTGACTTCTTTGGTGAGGTGGTTAGAGAGAATGCAGAGGAATTTCTTGTGGGGAGGTATGGGAGACGAGTTCAAATACCATCTTGTGGGTGGGAGCAAATTTGTAGGTCCATTCAGGTTGGAGGGATGGGTGTGAGGAGCTTGGACTTGTTCAACAAAGCTTCGTTGGGAAAGTGGCTGTGGGGTGGATAGGCATAGGCTGTGGAGGAGAGTTATTTGCCAGAGGAATTTCCTGTGGGGAGGTATGGGAGACGAGTTCAAATACTATTTTGTGGGGTGGAAGCAAATTTGTAGGCCCATTCAGGTGGGAGGGATGGGTGTGAGGAACTTGGACTTGTTCAACAAAGCTTTGTTGGGCAAGTGGCTGTGGAGGAGGGTTATTTGCCGTATATACGAGGCTAGAGGTGTGTGGAGTACCTTGTTGTCGAGGTCCCCAACTCGAGTTGATTTGTGGAGAAGCATCTGGAAGGGTTAGGATGAATTCTCCAAGCATATTCGATTCAGGGTGAGAGAGAGGCACCTAGTCAGTTTTTGGGAGGATCCTTGGTGCTGTGGGAGGCCGCTTGTGAGTGTTCCCAAGAATGGAGAGGATTGCGATTGATAGGCAGGCAATGGTCGGCCATTGCTATAATCTTGATGGCAGGGATGTTCATTCAGTCCGAGAGATTTTTGCATGATTGGGAGGTGGAGGAGATAGTTGAGTTCTTGGCGCTGCTCTACGGCTACCATGTGTCCGGGGAGGGGACAGATGAGCTGCTCTGGGCTAGTACGAGCCATGGGAGATTCAAGGTCTACTCGTTCTATTGTCATCTGATGGTTCCTCAGGGAATGTTCTTTCCACAAAAAGGCATTTGGCTATCTCGAGCTCCATTGAAGGTGGCTTTATTTGCAGTTGTTCTGGGTTGCGTCCCCCTTTTGGGTGCCCTTCAATGAATTCTTATCAAAAAAAAAAAAAAAAAAAAAGCCTGAGATGATGCTATCTTTTTATTTTTTATTCCAAGTAAGATTTCATTAAAGGCCCTCAAGAGGGCAGCACTTCCAAGAGAATACACAAGAAGACAACAACGACCAACTATAATTTCAAACTATCAACAAAATCCACAAAATGTCCCACAGATTTACATTTCCGCTCATTTACCCACAATAATAAAACTCAATATGGCACATTTAAGAGACCAAATAGGAGTCTCCTATGCATTGAAGGATCTCCTATTTCTCTCTTGCCACAAACCCCACCATAAACAAAGGAGAGTGGTCCTCCAAGCATTTCTGGGTTGGCTATCCACTATACGCCCTCTGTAAGCCTTGATCATGTCTATCATAGATCCAAGAGACATCCAGTACATACCGAACATTGCTAAAAAACATAGACCAAACATCCTATGCCACTGGACGATGCAAAAAAAGGTGATTCACCAACTTGTCCGCCTTCTTGAACATGTAACACCAGTTCACCACAATTTGCTACCTCCTTATGAGATTGTCCAAGGTGAGAATCCTCCCAAGGGCAGTTAACCATGCAAAAAAAAGCCACCTTTAAGGGGCCTTTCGATCTCTTCTCCAAATGTCCTTCCAAGGAAAAGCGAGACCCAGAATCTCTAGATGGCTCTGATAGAATGGTTGCACCTCAAAAACCCCTCTCGGGGAGCCCGTCCATACCATCTTATTCACCCCCCACCCCTCCCCCATCTGACTGTATAACAATGCTAGTAACTTTGCTACCTCCGTAAGCTTCCAATCGTTGAACTCTCTCCGAAACTCCATGTCCCAAGTCATCCTCCAGTTATCATGTCAATAACAGTCGGCAGCCAAGACATGTATGTCCGTAGTGATCTTGAAGAGCCATAGGAACCTACGTGCCATAGCAATGATCCAACACCAGAGATCCTTCCAAAATCTGACGTGCCTTCCACGCCTGACCTGTATCGAATGCGTTTGGAATACTCATCCCTTCCCTTCCGGATAATCTTCCAACCCCCACCCCCAGTGTTATTAAAGGCCCAAGGCGCGAGCTACACGGCGAGGCGCGCGCCTGAGTGAAGTGAGGCTTACAATTGAAGATTTAAACTACCATAATAACATTCATATCTTATAAGTCATATCAATATTCTAAAAATTAATATCAAATATAAAAATGTAAATCATCAACTATACAAGCATTCAACAACTATAAAACAGAGGACAAATTTGTTTTCTTGAAAGGCAAAGCAAAATGTGTTTTTTTGAATGGCAAAACAAATCACAAAAAGAAATAAATATTTTAACCAAAAAAAAAAAAAATTGTTAACAGGAAAATAAAAAGAAAAAACAGAACCAAAAAAAAAAAAAAAAAAAAAAACAAAAAAAAAAAAAGACACATAGAGAAGAGAACTAGACGAGGAGAGATGTAAACAAAGATAAAAAAGAGAGGGGAGATCTAGAGGAGAAGAGAGAAAAAAAAAAGAAAGAATTGACATGGCTTTATCGTTCATCTCTGCAACTAGGGTTTCGTCTTCGTCTCACAATCTCATTCAATTGCTGTTCGGTTAACACTTTGACTCTAGGGCTTTCTTATTTTTTTATTCTTTTATACAAAAGTTCCTTCAATCGTATGCTTGGGCTTTCTTTTTTGTTTTTTAAGTTGCCAAAAGTACCCTTTTTGGCTTAAGAAATAGAACAGTCGTATTTTTTTAAACAAATATCAGTGAACAGGACGAGGCGCAACCGAGGCACGCGTCTAATAAACATCAGTGAGCCTGGGATCACAATAGGCGCTAAACCTGAGCCTCGAGCCTAGGCGCGCCTTTAACAACACTGCCCACCCCTGTAAGAGAACTCACCTTCTTAGACAACCACCCACCATCCTCCCCAGTCCAGCAAGCAATGACTCTCCTCCACAATCTGGATTTCTCTACCCTAGATCTCTATAGCAACAAAGCCTTGTTGAACAGATCTAATGTCTTAATCGCCAATCCCCTACCTGAATATGAGTACACACCTCCAAATTCACCAAATGGTATTTGAATTCATCTCCCATGCCATTGCACAAAAATTTCCTCTGAAGCTTCTAACCTGCTGACAACTGTCACATGCATCGGAAAAAGGGACATAAAGTATGCTGGAAGATTCGCAAGGGCACTCTTCATGAGAGTTATGTACTCCCCTTTCAAAAGAGATTATTTTTTCCATTTGACAAGCCTTCTCTCAGAACCCACTCACCCGTGTATCTCTCCCTTACTCTTTAGTGGCTGTACGGTAGTTTAGGGATAACCATATTCTTTTATTTAATTTATTTATGATAATTTGTGAAACCATTACCCTGGTTCTTTTACGTTAGAGTACGAGCGGTGACTTTAACCCAAAGGGGGGTAAGTTGAACTTAGGGGTATAATTTTGTACTTAACTCACTTTTCAATTTACCTTTGATCCTTTTGAAATTCAGTTAGTGTGTGATTATTGATATTTGAATTCTAGTTTTATATCTGTTAATATTCAATTTCTCATCAGTAATAGCACATTCATGCATTAATAGAAGGTAAAGTTAAATTGAGCAGAGGAAAACCCAAAATGGGAAATACCACAGGACCAGACAAACACAATCCACTATACAAGAAAGACATTACAAGTAGGTTAACAGTTCACACAACCTAAAACCCCTAGTTACTAGGGGTGGCAAAATTCAACACGACATGCCAACACGACTCAAACACGACATGAAGTTAGCGGGTTTGGGTTGGCCTTAATCATGTTGTGTCTTATCATGTCAACCTTATTAATTAATCACCCCGTGTTCGTGTTTTAGTGCTCACCCTATTTAACTTGATTAGACTCGTTTAAATAATCGTGTCATAATCGTATCAGGTCAACCCGATTAACTCGAAACCTTTTTTAGCCCAATTATTATGAACATTTCTGTTATTTCAATATAAATTTAATATTGATATTATATTTGGCCTTTTTTTAAAAAAAAAATTAATTTTATTTTGTCATTATTCTCATTTTCATGGATTTAGTCACCAATTATCTCAATTTTTTCATTATATTTGCACTTTAAACTTAAGTTAATAAACGGTTTGCATGACCCATTTAAGTTAAAAGGGTTGAACTAGTCATCAAAAGGTTCGCGTTGTGTTATCTGTTTATAAACATGACATTCAACCCACTTCTAAGTTGACTATAACCCCATATTTATAGCTAAGCTAATGTAGGAGCCCCATATGTTTTAAGAAGTTGACCTTTGTAAAATTGTGTTTTGAGAGAATTATAAAAAAAGTCTGTCAAGTTCAATCGATCAAACCTTTGATCGAACTTTATTGGATACCTGTAGATCAATTGAAGCTTTATGGATTTGAATATATTTTTCAGTTAAAAATTCAATCGGTCAACCATTAGATGCCCGCTGGATAGTGTTTGATTGATCGACCATTCGCTAGATGGACCACAGTGGAGATGTTAGAGGCTTGGAGAGGGCGTTCAGTGGTCAGCCGCGTTAGATATGTGTGCTGGCTTCATTCTTTTTTTTGATCTGGCTTGTAGATTCTTTTGTTTTATGATTTTCCTACTTTTTGATGAAATGTTTTTCTGACCTGCTTTTGATGAAGAAATTCTTCTTTACTTGCCAATATCTGTTATTAAGAGATTTATGTGAATTTCAAATGAATGGCCAAACATGTGAATATGCATGCAAGTGTTTCTTTTTCTGCTCCTTGCTCTCTTTTTTGAAGCTTTCTATCCTCTGATCTCAGGAGAAGCTTTTCTCGAGCAAAAATAGAACAGAGGCTTCACTTGGGAAGAAGTTGAAGATTGACATGCTTCCTGAGATTGAGAAGGTCCATAAGGTACTCATATTTTTTCTTGACTGAATACTGAATTGGGTTCCATTTTTTCTTCACTCAAGCTGTATAAATGTTTCTTTACTGGCTCTCATCAGTTACTTCTCCTGCTGGAAAAATGCCTTTTTGATTTTTTTTTTTTTCCTTCATAAGATACTCCCACACCCACACAATTGCCCCTTCTACGGACTTGAATGCTTAACATTGTACTTGGAAAGTAGAGAAGATACCTAGAGCTATGGTGATATTTAATTTGGTTTTGCCAAGGCTACAAGTTTATTCAATTGTCATTTGCACAGAGAAAAGAGAAGCTGCTGAAAAAACAACACAGACAAGCTCTTCTTCTTGATAATATGATCAATGTGGATGGACTTGCTACTGGACGATCTCTTCGTGACAGAAAACCCGTCACCTATACTTTCGGTAAGAGCAATATGTTGGCTGTTCATTTTCTTTTATGTGTGGCCATTTTAGATTCGCAAGTGACTTGTTGGGTTGTTCGTGATAACTTGTGATACAATAAATCAGCACATATCAATTTCTCTTCTCTAATCTACTATAATTTAAGCTTATTATTATTATTATAAATATCCACATTGGAATATTATTATTATTATTATTATTTTCTGCCCCTACGACCTAACAATTATTTTGGATTACTGGCCCGTGCTGCAGTTTTTCACTAAAATGCAGGAAGCTAGAACTGATATCTGACATTTCTTCTGGGATTCCTGCTGGTTTTTCTGTGACCTGGTGTCTGCATGCTTTTTTGATCTGTCCCGAGTATTTATTTACATTTCACAGAACAATATATCTATTGTCTCTTTTCAAATATCTACTTTCGGTAAGAGCAATATGTTAGCTGTTAATTTTCTGTTACGTGTGGCCATTTTAGATTCGTAAGTGACTTGTTGGGTTGTTCGTGATAACTTGCGATACAATAAATCAGCACATGTCAATTTCTCTTCTCTAATCTACTATAATTTAAGCTTATTATTATTATTATTATTATTATAAATATCCACATTGGAATATTATTATTATTATTATTATTATTATTTTCTGCCCCTACGACCTAACAATTATTTGGGATTACTGGCCCATGCTGCAGTTTTTCACTAAAATGCAGGAAGCTAGAACTGATATCTGACATTTCTTCTGGGATTCCTGCTGGTTTTTCTGTAACCTGGTGTCTGCATGCTTTTTTGATCTGTCCCGAGTATTTATTTTCATTTCACAGAACAATATATCTATTGTCTCTTTTCAAATATCTATGCAACTAGATGGATAATGTTTGGTATTATAGGGTGGATAACGTAATGTTGAATTATTCTTCGGCATATACTATGTTGTGGGTGTATCTTTGGTGACTGTGACATATAAAGATATTTGGATAATCCATTACAGTGTTCTGTTTTATGCCCTGTAGAACACCCGTTAATCCACTATAAGAGCCCCCATTTACTCAATTTCATCAGTTAGTGATATGAAAAGATGGTTGAAAAACTAAGTGATGTGATATTTATGTTAAATTTGAAGGCAAAGTAATACCACTCACTTAATAGTTCTTTATTGTTTATTCAATTTTTAATGGTATCTAGTTCGATAAGTCTTACTAGAAATTTCTATTGGATGAATTCTGCAGATGATTATGACCGATCAATCAATGAGGCTATCAAGATAACCAAGTATGGATTTGTCACCCTGACAATATTATATGATAAGTCTCACAGAAATATTTAAAAATATCTGGAAGGAATTTACTTTTCTTTATTTCATGTACCAATAATATAGGTTGTCTTGACTTATTTGCTCTTTCATTTTCAAAATTAGAAGGAAACAGCCGTCTCCAGAACCTACTGTCAAAAGAGAATTTGTTGTTAAACCCGATGCTTCTACAAACGGTAGATGGAGTGGTTCTTCACAATTTCCTGAAGATCTCTCTTTTGAGGCATTGTCTCCAAAGTCACCTGATTATGATGAGACCAGTGAAGACCATAAATCTGAACCATTGGATCGCAGGTAATCCCAACTTCTGCCTGAATTTCTTTTGGTGCCATATTTAATTCATGAACTGACTGATAGATTGTGACATATAGCAATCGAAGAAGACAGAGGCCTCAACGGTATTCAGCAAGAGAGTTTGTTGAAGCAATTTCAGATAATGAGGCAGACTTTGATAGTGATGATGATATAGTTGGAGAAGCTGTATATGATGAAGAATATTTGAGGCGGCGAAAACAGAGGAAATTGTCCAGCAGCTCCGAAGGAGATGAGGAGTATCACTGGGACGACGAAAATGCCGAAGACGATGAAGAGGAGGAAGAAGATGAAGAAGATTCCTTAACTGCTAGTGAGAATAGTGATGAACCCAAAAGGCCAAAGAAATTGTCAGGCCGCACTAGGAGGGAAACTAAATTAAGGTCAGTTGGTGAGCTCCAATCAGGTCTAAGACGTAGTAATAGGGCCACCAGAAACCGTATCAATTATAGACAGTATGAAGTGTCGGAATCGGATACAGAATCCATGAAACCTGAGAAGTCGAATGCGACAGATGAACACTCAAATGCTAGTAATAGTGCGCAGTTTTTGGCAGAGAGTGAAGACTCCGAAGGTAACATTGATAACGAAGAGATAAAAATTGATCAGCCTGTTGAAGAGCACCCTGAAACCGTAGAGGAAAGGCAAAACCCCCCGCCCGAGAAATCAAATAGTCCAAGCCAAGATGAAGTTCAGGGTGTAAGAAAAAGACGGTTTCTTGACCTAAATGAGCTTGCTCCGGGTTCTGGTTTTGAGGATGGTCCTAACACAACAATGCAAGATGAAGATACGGATGACTTCTAAAACTTCTCTGCTGGAAAACAAGGGTTATACCTTTCACTTGGTGAAGCTGGTTGTTGGACAAATAAGATATAAATATTGCAATCAGTCCATAAAAAAAGTTTAGATTGGAGTTCTTCCATGCATAATCCAAGCGACCATCCTGATGCAGTTTATACAAAGATTTCTAGCAGGGAGCTGCATGATGCCGAGGGAAATTATGAGTTCAGTAGTCATTTTTTTTAATATGCGTACATTCAGAGAAATCTGCGGCAAATGAATGGGGAACTTGTTGGAAGTTCTTCAGTCTTTTCTTATCCAGTCAGTGTACAATAACCTTTTAACTGATATTGTGACCGAAAGATTTCACTTTTAGATGTTCAAGCCCTGTTGTTTGCCTTCCATGGTCATGACAATCGTCTGCCTGAGCATCTGGGTTGGTTGGGTCTGTTGATAATATAATCAGAATTTAGGAACTGATTTCGTTATTGTAATGGAACCATCCTCCCTCAGAAAGTAACTAATTTTTTTTTTTTGTCTTTTTTCTAGTTCAATATTATTATAGCCTTGTGAAGTAGCAGATTTTGGAATTTCTAGCTCTATTTGTTCATGTAAGATATTGTGTTCTGGTACTGAAGATGTCCAGATGAAACCGGTAATCCTACTGGCCTTTATTTAGTAACTTATTTGAGAAAGTAAGCCATCAGCCCTCAATTAGATTGGTGATTTCTACATCTGAATAAACACCATTAGCTTGACATTTGCCGGTGCAAAATTCTTTAAAATAAACTTTTATTACGAGGATTTAACTGCATTGCTGTTTTACAGGAGTGGTTCAGTTTTTGAATATCTTGCAACTGAGCGTCTTCCTTGCTTTGCCTGTTCTGTCTTTAATCTCTCGGCTTTCTTCAAGCTGACTCTTCCTTCGCATCATCAAGAGCACAAGTCAGGTATGAAAGTCATTTTTCTGCATCTTGCGTTGGAAACTTTTGGTCATGAAGGCCATGAAGGCCCCTGCAACATCAGTAAATGCAATTTTGGTGTCCTACGACAACCGTTGAACACTTGAACATCAAATGTGTTCCCAAACTCCAGGTAATTTTTCATATGCGCCTTAAATCCCTCAGAATCTACAGTATGAAAGCTTGATGTACTTGTCCATGTTCCTCCTTGTTAGAGCCAGGTCCAGCCTTTTCACATCAAAAGCTTCCCCAGCTTCTTGTTGGTCGTGACATCAAAATCGTATACCTCATAATAGAACAAGTTCACCATTCCAACAATCATGATGGATTTCCTAGTGCCACGAGGACCACAGTTAGGTATCCCTGTTTCCGCGCTTTCCCAGTTCTTTTGGTAAAATCCTTTGGCTGAAAGTCGTTGAAGGATCTTCAGTAACCTTATGCTTTCATTTCTAACCTCAATCGAAGCTTCCTATGCCTGTTTCTGACTCTTTTCTTCTTCCTCTTCATTCCCACATGCTCCAAGTAGCTTTGAGTCTCTGAACACTTGAGGTATGCCTGAACTGTGTAGCAACAGGCTTCAGTACCGCGGAGATCATAGGGACGTATTGGCAGATGATTGCAAAACGAACGTGAAACTGGCAATGATCTGAGCCTAACAGGCTTCAGTACCGAGGAGATCATAGGGACGTATCGGCAGATGATTGCAAAACGAACGTGAAACTGGCAATGATCTGAGCCTAGCGGCGTCCAAATCTTTACCTCTGTGCCGTCAATTTTATGTTCATTCGTGCCATCAAATATATGTTTCTAATGTAAAATTCACTTGGGTTGAATGCATTTCTCTTTATACAAGCTAGATAATTGTCAGAATTCCCGCCATATTTCACTAGGAGCAATTTTGGGAGTAGAGGCCTAAAAATATTACTAACTGAATAGGCAATTATTGTATATTGGTTCACCTTTGTCTTGCTCAACAGCGTTCTATCACATCCCAAACCGACGCTACCCAATTGGCCTTCAAATCAAACAAAGAATGGGGAACATGCTTTCAAAAGTATAAAACATTTCTCTAATAAAACAATGAAGTTATGTTATATGACCATTTCAAACCTCCTTATGAGAATTGACTCATCTTTTAACGTTCACATGGACTTGTTTTCAAAAATAATGAGAAAAAAACGAAAAAAAGAAAAAAGAAAAAAAAAAGGTGTGTTGAAAAATATTTTGACAAGAATATTTAAAAATATATATATATATTCCCCTCATTCATTAATTCATTTATGAATTTCATAGTAATAGAAATAGATGTCCTACCAAGATAGAACACACAAAATTCAGGCATATATGGCTATTTGTGGTATTTTGGTATCATGATTTTAGATCAGTTATTCTTGTTGCCACCTCTCACTACATGTCATGTCTCCTAATGGTGGGGGTGGCACAATTCCTTGTCCCCAAGAATATTCTGAACAATTTGTTACAAGTTATTATTACAAAAATAAATAAATAGATTTTTGGTCGGAGATTATGACGTTCTTTGGCCATGTTTTATTTATCATTTGTGAAAGGGGTCGCGAGTGATGAACACTCATGTAAGTATGCAAATAGGGTATATAATCTCTTATACCCATAGTCCTTAAAAGTCTATAATTTTTTTTTTTTTTTGGGTGTGAACAAAGGCGTATTGTCAGTGGAACGGTGAAAAAATTTGAAGTGCCCTTGTGCATTTGAAAAAAAAAGTGAAGTTGACAAATAATAAATATAAAATGACTAAAGTACCTTAACAAAAAATGAAATGATGCATTTATGTGTAAAATGGCATTTGGGAAGTTTAGAAAATTTGTTACTTAATATAAACATGCGCAACGCACATGATTACTTAAATGTGATTTTTAGACATTATACGAATTAAGCCCTTATTTGCTCATTTTTTAAAACTCAACCGACTCATATACTCTTAAAAAAAAAATAAAAAAAAAAAACCCAACCTACATACTCAAAATAAAAGTTAAGAATGTTATTCTTAAATTTTAAACATTATGATTATTTTTCTCACTTTATCTTTGTGAAAATTACAAGTTATTGTCCAGTCAACCGAAAAAAAGGGGTAATCAAAACTTTACTAATTTGTTTATTATATTTATTTTATGATAAGTAGGTAATCAAAAGAGCCTCTAAAAGTAAAAATGAAAGCAAACCTGAGCAGAAAATGCATAATGATGTAACATAGTTATATTGCCTGTTCGAGTTAGAGAGCACTAAAGATATCACCATCATGTGACTAGAACATGGAGCCTAGTGGGGACACAAAAATTAATGCGCCACTAGGGAAAAATTAGTCATGGGGTCATGGCACATCAGTGTCATAAAGTTGTTTAGTTGAATGGTTTTGTACCGTTAGAACTTTATTTCTTCAACTCTCATTTAAAATTTTCTTCTCCTAGTCAGTCTCAACTCTCAAGTCTCAACCAACCTTTGTTCCCACCACAAAAGGCTAATGTGATCATGATCAGATCATAGCACACACAGGACACATTGCCCTAACAACAATACTCCAGGGAGAGACTCTGCAGGTCACCCCTATACCGGAGCAATGGAAGTAGTGGATCTCTCTCTCGAATTGTCACTAAAAAGGCATTACCCAGTTTTGGGAAAGAAATCTAGACAGATTTAGGGCTTGCTTGGTTCAGTTTTCTATAACCAGTTCGTGCCACAGTTTTCTATAACCAGTTCGTGCCAATGAGATGTTCAACCGTACTAGGCAACGACCCTCGTCAATCTTAATTGCCCGTTAATAGATAGATTCAGGGCTTGCTGGGTTCAGTTTTCTATAACCAATTCGTGCCAATGAGATGTTCAACTGTACTAGCTGACGAAACTCGTCAACCTTAATTGCCAGTTAATATAGATTACAAAACAAGGGTCTGTGTCTCAACTAGTTGATCATGAGAGGTGTTGACTAAGAATGGGTCACAGGAGAGATTTGTAAGTCGAAGTACTTGACCTTATACCAATTCCTACAAGCCGGAATTTGAGGCAATCCATGAGCAGCACAGACCCTTTCGGGGCTGCAAAAGCACAAGAGGAAAACTACTGACATCCCCATTGATTAAAATCGAACAACAATTCATTTCGATCTGGTGTGATTCTATTGTAAATTACAGAGCTAAGATGTGTATGGAAATCTCTACTGCACATGTAAGCTTCATTGTTTTCCATCCACAAGGGAAAACTGGAAGGGGAGAGAGAGAGAGAGCGAATGGAATTTCTAAGGGCCCCTAAACAGCCCTAGTATATGTGACCCAACCCTCTGTATACAATATATGACACTATGACTGCAAAACTTGTTTCTCCACGTTCATATATTCTCAGATTATGTCCCTTGCCACCATACAGCAATTGTCATCTCATGTTGCAGCACTGAGGCTTTCCTTGCTGTTGCAATTTGTTCCACATGCAGATCATCTGCCTTGGAGACTGGTAGTGTGCTGTGTAATAATCTGGGATGCACCCGAATTGGCAGAACTTCAAGCTGTGTATGTACTCAATTGGTCTCGAGTTGTTGAACTGCTCCACCCACATTCCCATACTCACATCTTCCATCTTGAACAACTGCACAAACAGAAACTAGTTAATTACCAACAGCAAGAACCCACCATCGCCGTGTTTCAAGCACGAGCGCGTGCATGTGCGTGTGTTTTGAGTGTGAGAGAGCAAAATCAAGTTCTTGTCAAATACCCTTAATTTACGTTTCTCAAATTCAGATACAATGAAGTGGGCAATGTCTGATGACACAATATAGCCTGGTCCATTTGCGTAAGGCGGATAGTCTTCTTCTGGCCATTCCTGAACAAACCCAGAAGAGGAAGAAATGGAGTGATTAAATTAAAATTAAAGGCTTCACAAATAAATAATTTACACTTATCTCAAGGAACATTATTTAACCAGAACTAGGATGGTGCAAGAGACAATTGCATATCATTCAGAATTTTACCGATAAGAAATCTTGTGATCTGTTAATGAATAAATAAATCAATCATTAGGCTTAAATTTTCTTCCCAAAATGGATGTTATAGTATCTTGAAATTCTAAGTAATCCATTTCAAGAAACAGGGTAAGGTCATGTAACACGGTGACCATTGGATGCATTACTGCAAGACGAAGGAAGACTAGTAGGTTTTATGATCCTTGCATGGCTCAATGAAATCACGTATATTATTACTATCAGTTATTTAACATCATACAGAAAATTCAGAAAAATATACTGCTCTAGGTAAACTACCCAAAAGACTTCTATTTCAATTCCAGACAGCAGGTTTCAAGTCAATTACAGAGCATACATATATTATATACACATGCACCATAGGAAACATAATATTTTTTCTTACATATTGCTTATTCGAAAAACTTACTAATAAATTAATAGTCTAATTGATGGCCCCAAACCTGATACCGTAGCAGCCACCAGAAAAATTGCTTTGATGAAGTGTCCAACAATGTATATTTTTTAAAGCAAAACAGCGCCCAACATTTACTTTTGAATTAGTGATACTCATTTAGATTGCCATGTTAAAAAAATAAAGTTGTCTAGGCATATATGTGAAAGAATTCAAAACAAATCATATCAAGACCAAGAGTACCAAAACCAATGGGTTCAATTAGCTGTACCTCATATGTGACTGCCCATTTACCATAGCGCAGAGGCTTATGGTAGTAATTGATGTTTCCAATGTAAAAGCTACTAGCATCACGTACTTTCTCGGCTTCCTTGATAACCGCATCCACTCTAACAAATGTGTCGTCATCACACTTCATGATATACTTTGCAGACAGTGTACGAACCTATAACCGAAGGAATCAGCCATGATTAATCTCTGGGTATAAATAAAGTAACTCCTGCTTCAACTTTTGACAATACTCCACTACTTACCCCATATTCACAGATAGCAACAGTTTTGATAACAACAAGGTCATAGTTATCCATGTAAGGAACTATAACAATGTCACCAAAGAACTCTGCTTCTTTCTTTAGCTCCACATTCACTTCCTTCCTTACATGCTGTCCAAACATCAGTTCCAAAATTAATTCAACCAACTCCAACTTAGAAGTTGTAGATATTGAATCACAAATTAAACAACTCATGCCATCAGTCTCTTCACCTACCAGTGCTACAAAGAAACGAACCACCACATTTGAAGACTTGATAAGCTTATGCTGCATCCAGGACTTCCTCACAGCCATCCGCTCAGCAAAATGGTTGCCTGCTGAAAGTACACCAATGAATAGTTCCACAGGTCCATCAGGAAGAGGACGGGCCTGCCATCGGCTGGACCTCTCAAGAATCTTCTGGGGAGCAAAACTTGGATGTGTTGTGGGCAAGGAAGCAGCAAATATGGAATGGACATCAATATCTCCGTTCAAATATAACCCAGTGGCATCCTCAAGTGCAAATCCCTAACAACATTAACCAAGAAAAAAAATCTCAAAAAAGCAGCTAACATTCATCACCAAAATAAACGATGCAAGACAATACTTACAGTGCGATAAGGAAATGACGTGACATGCCTCCCGTCAGTGTTGATGTGATAACCCTCAAAGCCAGCGCTAATAGTTAGGACAAATAGCTTCTCTTCTGCGAATGGAAATGGCCAATCAACAGTCACCTTCTTTGTTCGGCCAATCAGCCGGTTCAACCACCATGTTGCTTTCGACTCCTCAGAGCGATCATCATCATCACGGATCCACTTCTCACATTTCCCCTGACCATCAACTGAGCCAAATTGCAATATATAATATTAGAAGCATTTCTTCAAAATTTACAAATAAGTTCCTGTAATACCAGTTGAATGGAAAGGAGATACAATATTGAAAGTCACAGCTAACAATGCAACCAAAGAAAAAAGAAAGTAAAAAATTAAAAACAAAAGACAAAACATGATTCTTTTGACTCTTGGCCTGCCACACCCCATCGAGACGTTCACTTGGCCGATTCTATTGCAATATTTTCTCTTCATGCCTCTTCAGATAGCAAGAAAGATGCAGGAAAGGGAAAATTTTGGCATCTGACAGCCTCAATTGCAACCCTTTGTAAGATTCTAGTTTTCTTTTTCTTTCATTAGCCCAATTTCAAAAACCAATTAAACTTACAGCTTTATAAATTAGATAGTTTTTGCTTTGGCTTGGATTCCCAGAAAAGAAAAATTCAGGCACAAAACATTCTTCTATTGTTTAAAACTTGGGATATATATAGTGGTTAGTAAACTTAAGATATTCAATCAAGCTACAGATGCAACTCATCATCAAAACAATCAATTTAAACTGCACCAAGTCGCAATCACTTTTCCTTCAAAGGGAAAAGGAGACTAGTGGGACTTTGTCTCACAAAACTCTCTTTTATCCTAATAACCAAAGGTTAATGCAATAAATTCATAGGCAAATACTAAAAACTCAACCAAAAGCAAACATTAACAAAAACTATATAATCAATAAAAATCTAAATTGATTCACTCACCAGTTTCTTCATCAGCCCTAGATTTCCAACCCTCACATCGAAGTGCCGTTCCCCACTGCATCCTATAACAAGTATTCTGCTCAATAACAGGCTTCCCACTCCAATCCCCCTTCAACCTTGGATTGAAATGCAAAATCCTTGGTGGGTCCTCTCCATCAACAGTCTTCAACCCCTGCAGCTCCATCATGAACTGTGACACCATCACATACTGCCCATCCTTCAACAATGATATCTTCGTCTCGTGCTCCGGGTGAGCTTGTTTCGGCTTTCCCACAATCGTTATATGTGATCCCAGTGTCAATCCACAAGGAAGCATCATAACTTTCCCTCGTTCCGAAAATTCAGAACCCGACAGCGTAATTGAATGTGGGCAAGATTCTGTTCGATTCTCTACCATAGTTTTAACATCATTTTCAACTTTACCCGATTCGATTTCTTCCCAGACCTTCTTCCCCACTTCAAATGCATCCTTTGCGGACTTCAGAATCCCTAAAAACCCATCTTTACCATTACTATCCACAACCATACCATCAAGATTCAAATTTGATAGTGTTTTGTACCCTGTCATTTGCCTTCTAGTTTCAGATTGGGAGGGCTGATTCGAAGCCCTAAGAGGGACCGTTAACGGTCGAATCGGGGCTTCTCTCTCCTCCAGTTCCTCTTCGCTGTCGAGTTGTAACGGCCGAGACAATCCATCATTGAAGAACACATTTGAGCCCTCTTGAGACACTGCGCCGAACCCAGTTCTGAAAACGAAGGGTACTTCCATGCTGACCATGATTATGTACAAAAACCCTACACCGATCAAAATTTGAATCGATCTCTGCCGACTCAGTGACACGAACACGTCTAATTTGGCTCTCTTCATCCCCCAATTCTCCACAAAACCCTAAATATTAAAAAGACCCACCTTAATTGGCTGCTCCGTGATCACCAACAAAACAGAACTTTGTAGAGAGAGAAGAAGGCTGGATTCAGTTCGAATTTAAGTTTTATCACGCAAAACCTTACTCTTAACGCTTAGAGTTAGAGAGAGAAAGTTAGGTTATCAACAAAATGAAAGACGCGTAACGCGTTCATGGAGAGAGAAAGAGGAAGGGTCGAATCAGTTCAAATTTGAGTTCGACCTCCCAAAACCTAAGTCTTAACGCCCAGAGAAGAGAAGGGAAGAGGAGAGAGAAAGTTAGGTTATCAACAAAATAAAAGAAGCATTAGTAGAGAGAGAGAGAGGGTCGACTCAGCTCAAACTTGAGGTCGACCTCCCAAAACCTAAGTCCTAACGCCTGAGAGCTAGAGAGAGAGACACACAGAAGAGAAGAGAAGAGAAGAGAAGAGAGAGAGAGACAGGTTATCACACAATTACAGACGGGTTTATAGAGAGAGAGAGCGTGCTAGAGAGAGAGAAAAACTAGCTGTTTCATGTCGGTGGCTTTGTGGGATGAAACTGTATTTGGTAGTAATTCAAATGGAAGCATAGTTTTAAAAGGAGTGTGAAATATGAATTAGCATAAATTAAAAAGATCTAAATTTTAATTTTAAAAAAGAAGAAGATATGAATTGAGAGAGAGAGTTGCGTTATGCATAATTGTGAGAGTACGTAAAAGTAGGCAACTCGCCATTACATTCCGTTGTGGTTGGTAAAAGAAAACAAAATAGACTTGAACAATGGGGCATTATTGATATTTAGTTCATAGATTGTGATTCTAAAATGGATTGTTGCAAAATTACAGAGAAACTTTTATTAACAATTTACACCAGTTGTTTTTGATAAGATGTGCCCTCGTGTTATCTTAATCTTTAACTGTATTTGTTATTTTGTTTTGTTTGGCTGAAGTGGTTATGCATTCTAGCTGAGCCCTTTGTATTATTTGTGCCTTCATCTTTTATACCAGTTATTTGTTTTGGTTGGTTGTGTTAATTTTGTTAGAAAACGTTAAAAGTATTACTACTTCTATCTTATATTAGTAATTTATTATTATTATTATTTTTTAATGTCCCAAATTAGTTATTCTTTTAAAAAAAATTAAAGCAAACTTTTATTGTCAAATATCAATACAATTAGGAAAAATTACCCTTATCAACTACCATAACCTATAACAGAGCAAGACATTCTCGACATTGACGAGACAATCAGGGGCGGAACTAGAAATTTGGGGTTGGGGGACCAGGTTTGTACTATGTAATTAAAGTGAGAAAATTTTATGCACTAATTATAAAAATTCTTAAATTTGAGGTATTAAAGAAAATACGAGTTCAAGTTGAAAAATTACTAAATTTCAAGAAGATACCAACTAAATTTATTTTCAAATTCTCTATTTTGAGTCCATAGACAAGTATTTTGAAAAAAAAAAAAAAAAAGGCCATTCAAGTTTTTAATAAATTTTAGGGGTAATATATACAAAGTAATTAATATTTAGGGATATAAATGGAGTTTTTAAGAAAGTTTGGGGGGCATGGCCCCTGCTGCTGTGTCCTGCACTTGAGCAAGTAGTTCCCACATTTCCCGAGGAGGAGGAGAGACCCATTAATGTTTATATATATATAAACAGTGAGTGCGTGTTTATATTAATTGTTGAAAGTTAAAACCCATTACCAGCGCGGAATCTCAACTACTGCTCACCGGCGAACCTTTATTCTCCGGAGAAACATTCTGGCAAACCACCGCCACCTCCAACCGACGACTATGTAATCGAAGCTGCAGTCGTGCCAATCGAAGTATCCATGCCCCAATCAACTACCACCCTTGTGGGTGGGTGGGTGTATGTGAGCGTGTACAAATGACACCACTAAACTGTCACATTAGGTGTGGCGTGGGCAAGTACTACTATATATAGATTTAATACCCTTCTATGACACCACGCGTTTTAAAATCGTGATAATCGTGAACCTACCTTAACCCCAGAGTTAAGCATGCTTAACCTGGAGTAGTACCAGGATAGGTGACTCTAGGAGTCTCTGGTCCGATCTGGTTAGAGTGATGGTCGTTACAAATGATATTAGGATCTGACCCAACTGGACATTGCCTCCGTAAAAAATTGACAATATTGGATTCCCCTGATTCCCTAGACATGGGTCAAATTACAAAATGAAAAATAGAATAAATAATGCACTAAAGGAAAATCTATTAAATAATAATTTCATTAATAATTCTCCAAAATTACAATTCTACAACTCATGAATTCTCTAATTTCATTTAGAGATCGAACTAGCATATATATAAACCTTTTGCCTTTTTTAAGTGACGTGGGATTGTGCAACTTATAATTCGCTAAGTGTGCGTGGTAATAAATATTCTTAATTTTTTTGGGTAAATTAACTTGGTAAATTAACCTCCCCCTCCCACCTCATACACTAACGCGCTCACGCTCCTCCTACCTCCTACAGTAACCCAAAAAAAAGTCAAAAGAGTAACAACCCCCCAAACAAATCCCCACGAAGTCCAAGAGCATCTCCAATGGGGTTGCTATTTTGGTTGTCAATTCAAAATATAGTAGGTGGGTTAAAATTGAGCTCTCCAATGAGCTGCTATATTGGCTGCTAAAATTTACCTTTGCCATTTTTTGTACCAAATCTAGCAAAACAAATAGCAATAACTATTTTTATATTTTGTGCCAAATCTAACAGAAATATATGGGTTTTGAACTTTTGATTACAAAACAAGAATTACAAACCTTGATATATATATGCATACACAAAATCAAGAATTGCAGACTTCAATTAGTTGATTTAGAAAAAAAATTAAAACAAAACCCATACATACAAGTTAGCAGTTGGAGAGAGAAAGAAGGGGGGCAAGCTTGAGAGTTGAGAGACAGCGGTTGAAGCTTGCGAACGGCGAACCCGAATTGGAACAGCGAACGATGGAAACTGAAAGATATGGGTTTTGATTTTTTGTACAATCTGATCGAAATGATACGCCGATATGGGTTTTGATATAGGTAATAGGTTTTGAACTTTGGATTCTTGCAGACAGATAGATAAACTGAAATATATGGGTTTTGAACTTCTGATTCTTGAAGATTTTGTAGTTTGCAGTTGCAGAGAGAGAGAGAGAAAGAGAGAAGGAGAGGGCAAGTTCTTAGAGTTGAGAACGAGAATAGAGATGGAGGCGATTAGGCTGAAATGATTTGCCCTAAAAATATATATACTTTTAATAATAATATAATCAAATATATATATATATATATATATATATATATATATATATATATAAATTTCCAAAAAAGAAAAAAAAATATTATATAAAAAATTAATTCACAAATAGGGGTAAAATAAAAAATAAAGAATTTGTTTTTGTTTTTTTTTTTTTTGGTCCTTTTTTGACCAGATATTTTAGATTAATATACATAATACAATAATGGTATATATAATATATAATATAAGTAAACATATAAGATTGAATTTATATGTATATATATAGGTATGTAAAATGGATATTTGATCAAATAATTAAATCAACAAAAATGAATTTTTATTACAAAAAGTAATTGAATGGCATAAAATAGTAGGATATATATATATTTTTCTCATTTTGTATGTTTGGTTGAATAGAAAAAAATTGAAGGGAAAGGATGTTGCAGGAGTTAACTATGCTAGATATACGTTATAATATATATATATATATATATATATATAGTTGTACTCATAATTATGAATTTCACTTTTTTAAATTTATGATGCTTTTCTTTAATTAAAAGTATAATACATGTAACATAAGATATAAATTTAAATATTATTATTTAAGAAAAAAAAAAAACTATCTTTTAGCTAGATTCACATAATTGAAACCCCCTTGACTTAATGGTGATATTTTGGTAAAGTAATTCCCTCAATTAATTAGGGTCTTTTGCAAAAATAAATAAATAAGAAATTTACTGTAAAACAATAAGTATCTGTTTGGTTAGACAGAAGAAATTTACTGTAAAGCATTACAAGTGAAGGACTAAAATGAAGTTTACCCCAATTTAAACTAATGCTATTTCAAATAGTCTCCATAGTCTCTTATATATATATATATATATATATATTAATTTAATATAGACCTTAATATCTAAGTCAATGTCATTTTGCAGTGCAAGTTGACAACTCAAAGTGGTATTAGCCGCCCAAGTTTATATATAATTGGGACTACTGTATAAAACACCTTAAAGTATATTACTTTCACGTAACACTTTAATTTATCTTTAGTTAAAAAATATTCATAATTTTTTTATATTGTGTAAAAATATCCCCTCTAACATAAATTAGTATTGTAATATTTGTTTTGCCCTTTTACTCTTTCGAAAATACCCAAAGGAGTATATATGTTACTAATATCATAGTATTGGGGTATTATGTGCACATTACCTTATATATATATATATATATATTTGAAAAATTTTCCTTTATATATATCTCTAAACATTTTTATTTTTTTTATTTTTTTTATTTTTTTATTTTTTTAACTTTGAGAATTTGTAGAACAAGTATTTGAATTTTTTGAAATTTTATACGAAATTTTTTTTTCTTTGTTTTATTTTATTTTTTTTCGTACCAACACTGTTGAAAAAAAAAAAAAACAGAAAAAAAAATTTCCCAATATCAGTGTGCACTGATTTCGGAGTTTGGAAAAAATTTGTTTTATTTAGTTTGTACTTTATTTTTGTTTTTATTTTCTATTTTTTTTTATCTTTTTTTATCTTTTATACTTTTCTTTTATATTTTTATATTGTCCATTGCTGGCGTCTTCCAATAGTGTCATTTTCAGTCATTTTATAAAATTATTTATTTTTATATATTTTATAAAGGTAATTTTGTCAACTTAGTGTTTAAATTTGTCAGAGAGACCTATTTGCACCCGATTAAAATTTTACGAATGTTTTTGGCATGAGAGGGGCATCCTCCAATAGTGTCATTTTCGGTCATTTTACAAATTTATTTATTTTTATATATTTTATAAAATGGTTCAGTAAGGGTAATTTAGTCAACTTAGGGTTTAAATTTGTTAGAGGGACCTATTTGCACCAAATTCAAATTTTAGAAATATGTTTTGCATGTGAGTAGTATGATATGTATTATAAACATACTTTAGGTTTGTTTTATGCACTTGACCCATATATAATTAGACTTAAATAACTCTTTTTTATTATTTTATTTAGATTTAAATTGAAAATTTTCAATCTAGGGTCAACCTGAGTTAGGCTTACTTGTTAAGTAGCTCAAATACAACTGGATATATATTATTATTAGTGATTTAGTAATGTGATTGAATAAAATCTGAACCAATCGAATTCGAGCCTCACCCAAAATTAAGAAACAAAAAACTCAAGTTGCGATTGAATTGGACTTGTGACGTCGAGTTCGAACTTAGTATAGAGGACGTACCATATCAAATTTGTTTGAGTCAATTCCAAATATTATTAATTCAACCAACATGTAAAAATTTAAATTGATCATAAGGCTAAAATCATAAAATCCTCCTATTATTTTTAAA